TCTCTCAATCGCTACCAGATCTCTCTCTCAATCGATCTCTCTCTCAATCGCCTTGCATCGCCTACCGTCTTCTTCTCGATCTCTCGATTTATTCTATCCATCTCGATCTCTCGATTAGGTATCCATCTCGATTTCTGTTTTTGCTGGTTCATCTCGATTTTGTTCATCTATTGATTTCTGATTTTGTTTCTCCTTGCACTGCAAATCACAGATACTTGCTCGCTTCTCCAGAAACGAGTTCGGTTCCACTATCGGTGTCGAGTTCCAGACCCGAACTCTCGTTATAAAGCACAAGTCTGTCAAGGCTCAGATCCGGGACACCGCCGGTCAAGAACGGTATGATTTTACGTCTCTTTACTGTTTGTTTGTGCTCAACTAATAATATCATGAACTTTTACTCAYTGATTCACGGTCTGGATTCGAAGGTTTTGTCTATGATGTAGATYTTGAGTTATATCGGTTTCTCCATATTGGAGTGTCTAAGCTGCAAGATGACTCCAGAACTCTAGAATATGAAGTTCCCACTCAAGCATAACTTAAATTTCTGCTATTTACCAACCGTTCCCCCTRGACTTCACTTCTTCAAACATATATGTATTTCATAATTCATGTGTTTAACCCCCATTATTTTCTATTTCACAATCAGTATAAGAGGTCAGGTCATGGCCCTCCATGCTGTATATCTATCAAAACCAGCATGCACATGGATGCTGATTACCACTGCCTGCTCATGAACTTCATATATAATTAAGYTGGTAAAACTAATGGTGCTTTTGATGGCCCTCAATAATTACTATGCACTATCAATGAAGACAACACACAAAGTATRTCATCATCTTCAATTATTGCATCTCTAGTTGTACAGAGTTGAGATAGAAGGCATAGGTAGATATCCTTTTTTCTCTCRAGCAATTAAGCATGAAGTTAGCTAACTATAATCCTGTCCTTTTTCAAAGAAACAACCCATTATTGCAATACTTGGTTTTTATGTAAAAATGATGGGTAAAAATGAAAGTGCCTTTACAGGAACCAAAAAATGCTCAGTCAATCTGATGAAACCGCATTTCATTGATTTCATAGTGAAAAATTTACAACATAAAAAGGTATAKGTAGAACATGCTTACATCTTKGAAAGTTAAKATGTGAGRGCTACTTCACAGAWKCCTTTTTSCAAGCAATGATCTGGAGAAGGCATCAAGTGGTTTAACATTGAACCATAACCTTGATTTTGAACATGGAGGTGTGATCAACAATTTATCTCCCTATGGTATCACTTTCTTAACCATGGAACCATATTGCAGGACAGCTCTAAACACGGGAAGAGTAGTTTACYAGCCACTATAAAAGTAACACCCTGCTGYTATATACACCCTGCTGTTGAAATTTTTKATTATGAATGCTTCTTTGCTGTTTTGGTTGGATGAGATTGTATATTTYGTCTCTGTCCAGATKAGGATAGTGCATTTTATGCAGTTGCTGATTATCCTTAGGTCTTTTTCTGTCTTATAATGGAATAAGGACAGTATAAGGCCTGATATGTTTCTTGATTTGGAGGTCATCWCTTTTTGGTTTTTTCCTTACTAATTTGGATGRATTCATATCAGATTATGTTCCYAATTTTGCTGCTGTATTATATAAGCTGCCATAAGAATATAGAACATTTGATCCGTATAGAACATTTAAAAGTTTTATCTTTTCTGCTTGATTTTAGTCATGGATGAGAATGTGCGTGTGAAGTGGACAAACGAACTTACCAAACGGTTTCTAGAGACTTGTATAGAAGAGGTCAATAAGGTGGGTCGAAATGGAGGTAGTCTTCGCAAGGAGACTTGGGTGCAAGTGGCAACCAAACTTGAAGAAGTTTGCCATGTAAAACTCACCGAGAAACAACTGAAAAACCAATATGATTATTTGAAGGGAAAGACATCCCTAGGAATAATAGAAGGTTACGACGAATATTTAAGGTAAATAATAATTCAATAATATTTGTATAACTTTCCTTAATAAATTTATTTTGACTATTTAGCTTTAATGTAGGGAGCAATTGGAGCCTTGGATGGAACTTTAATACATGTTATCGTCCCTATTCAAGAGCAACATTTATATAGAGGACGAGGAAAGGGTGAATGTTATCAAAATGTTTTAGCAATTTGTGATTTCAACATRGTTTTCACATTTGTTGTTGCCGGATGGGAAGGAATTGCGCATGATTCTAGAATTTTGTCTGAAGCTTTAACAAATGGTGATATTGGATTTCCATTTCCTCCTTCAGGTATACTATTGATTTTACAGGTAATATATATGCTATATTCATTTGAACAAACATTTTATTTATTGTTTTCAGATAAATATTACCTATGTGATGCTACGTATACAAATACTCGAGGATTTATGGCGCCGTATCGTAATGTTAGATATT